TCGTTACCATCTGTCACCATACGTGGTTAACTTTTAGAATTTACTCTCTTGGCAACTTTCAAGTATGCTTCACAATATTATTGACTGTAATCACCATGATGTACATTATATACCCATGACTTACTTATTTCATAACTGGAAGTTTTCACCTCTTGACCCCCTTCACTCATTTCACCCATGCCCTTACCTTCCTGCCCTTTGACAACCACTATTCTGATCTCTTCATCTATGATTTTTGTTTTGTTCATTTGTTTTGTTTTTTAAATCCCACATGTAAGTGAAATCATATGACATTTCTCTTTGACTTATTTCACTTAGCATAATTCCTTTAAGGTCCATCCATGTTGTCACAAATGGCAAGATTTCATTCTTTCTTATGACTGAGTAGTATTACAGTGTGTGTGTGTGTCACATTTTCCGTATCCATTCATCCATCAATAGCCACTTAAATTATTTCCATGTCTTGGCTATTATAAATAATGCTTCAGTGAACATAAGAGTTAATATATCTTTTTCAATTAGTGTTTCCTCTTCTTTAGATAAATACCCAGAAGTGGAATTGTTGAATCAAATGGTAGTTTAATTTTTAATTTTTTGAGAAACCTCTATATTGTTTTCCATAGTGACTGTACCAATTTACATTCTTACCAACAGGGCACAAGAGTTCCTTTTTCTCCACATCCATGCCAACACTTTTTATTTCTTATCTTTCTGATGATAGCCATTCTAACAGGTAGAAGGTGATATCTCATTGTGGTTTTGATTTGCATTTTCCAGATGATGAGTGATGTTGAGCATCTTTTCATATGTCTGTTGGCCATCTGGATGTCTTTGGGAAGATGTCTATTCAGATCCTCTGCCCATTTTTAAATTGGATTGTTTATTATGATTATTTTTTTGCATTTGAGTTTTAGGAGTTTTTATGTTTTAGATATTAACCCCTTTTCAGATATATGATTTTCAAATAGTTTCTCCCATTCAGTAAGTTGTCTTTTCATTTTGTTGATGGTTTCCTTTGATGTGCAAACGCTTTTTAGTTTGATATAGTCCCATTTGTTAATTTTTGTTTTGTTACCTTTGCTTTTGGAGTCGGATTTAAAAAATTATTGCCAAGACTTGTGTCAAGTAGCTTACCACCTGTTTTTTCTAGAAATTTTTTTGGTTTCAGGTCTTACATTCAAGTCTTTAATACAATTTGAAGTAATTTTTTCTGTATAGTGTGAGATAATGGTCTAGTTTCATTCTTTTGCATGTTACTGTCCAGTTTTCCCAGTAGCATTTATTGAAGAGACCATCCTTCCCCATTGTATATTCTTGCCTCCTCTGTTGTAAATTAGTTGACCACGTATGTATGAGTTTATTTCTGTGTTCTCTATTCTGTTCCATTGATCTATAGTTCTGTTTTTATGCCAATATGTAGTGTTTTGATTACTATAGTTTGCATTGTAGTTTCAAATCAGGAAGTATGGTATCTCCAGCTTTGTTCCTTTGGTAACAAAGTTAAGAGAGATGTGGAATGTTCCTTTGCTGAAGTTCAGCATGTTTGTTGTAAGTTAAGGCTGCTTCTCTCTGTCAAACTGACATAGATCCTCCTGCCAAGAGTGGGATGCTTCATTTTTGGTTATCTAATTTCAAACAGCAAAGTTTCTGATAGATTAGTATTTTAGAGTACTAAGTTTCTCAGTGTGCACAGAATAATAGTATTCACTCAAAGGAGGGGATTGTTAGGACATTTTATAGCTGTAGTATGTCCTTGGAAGAAATATTGTTTCCTGTTAATTTCATAGCTGACAATTAATGCCTGTTATTCCAGCCTGATAGATTTTTATGTTCTCAGTCCAAACTAATTTTTATTTTTTGACTGTACAGGGCTTGGATGGTAGCTCTGTGATATCATCAAGAACCTAAACTCCTTTTACCTTTCCATTCCATTAATCTTATGAGCTTATAACTTACATGATAATGCAATGGTTAGTCAACCTTCAGCATAATGTCTGCAATCTATGCAGGAAGAAGGGAGAGGTCAAGGGAGCATGAGCCATATATGTTACATTCAGGAGTTTTCCCTGCAAGCCCCACCCAGTGCCTTCCAGTTACATCTCATTGGCCCAAACTGTGTCATGTGATTGTGCTCACTGCGAGTGTGTGACAAATACATTTTTAAACTTTCATATTGTTGTTCCTCAATAAGATTGAGGTTTTCTTATTAAGGAAGTAGGAGAGAATGGATATTAGGTGGGGAGATGGAAGTCTCTACAACACTTTCCAAACTCCAGTAAAATGGTATTAAAGGACTAAAAAAATGTAAACATACAGGAACGAAGAATACATGAAAAGAGAGAAGAGTGTCAGTCAGTTATTTCAAAGTTGTAAAACAGATGGAGAAATGTTAACTTGACTTACTTAAGCTGAGGAAGTGAAACTCTAAATGCCTGCCAAGGGGGATGGCATCAAGAACCAAACTGCTTTGCCCCATACAACCTTGGAAGGTGAATAGGAGTTTTCTAGGGAGGTGAAAGTGGGATGTGAGTTGTACACAGAGGGATGGGTTAAAAGCCAGTATAGGAGGAAATTTCCACGTAGTAAGTTCTTTTGTCTTCACTGACTCCTTTCTACTTGTATCATATTTACTTTATTCTTGAGCTTCTTGATTTCATGCTTGTATTTATTTTAAATCTTTTTTGTTTTAAGCAATATTATATATGACTATTGATATTTTTGTATTCATTCTTGCCATCTCATTTTGGTTTTTATTTATTATTCACATTTTGTTTGTTTTTTCTTTTACCAGCCTTTTCTTCTTTTTGTTAGTTTGACTAAACATTTTCTTTCTTTTTTTTTTTTTTTTTGTTCTTTCATAGTTGAAAGCAGGTCCTTTGTTTCTGTTTTTCTAATGGTTCCTTATAAAAATTTAAAAAAAATTTTGTTTCCTAAATTTTTTATGCCAAAGGCATACTTAATCAGGCTCTATCTTTTCCATGAATAAGTCAAGGTCCTTAGCAGGGTTTTCTGTTTTTCCTTTCCTTGCCCTCACCCTCATTCCTCCTAGCCAGTCAGATTGGATCTGGAATTATAATTATATACATATATGTATGTATATAATTATAATTATATGTATAATTTACTTTATAATTTACTATATATTTATAACTTCACTTTGTTGTTTGATATATTTATATTGATATATATGACTTTTTCCAAATAAGATGTATCTAGCTTGATAACTCTTTTGGAAATGTTTTCTCAGTTCTTTAATCTTTCCATTTTAACTTATTTTTCTTGCTAGAACACATTCTCTAGTAATTTTTTCAGAGATGATGCCTGGGAGATAAACCTCTTAGTCCTGTTGAATCAACCTCATTCTTGAAGCTGAATTTGAGCCCACATAGATAGATTTAAACTTGTTTTCAAAATTGTTTTTCTTTATAACACTGAAGCCCTATTTGATTAAAAGTCTGATGTCAGTTTTGCATTTCTTTGTTTCCTCTTTCTGGAAGCTTTTAGGGTTTTTACTTTATCTCTAGTAATCTTATTGTGATATGCTTGAGATTTGGCCGTGAGCCCTTTCTATCTGAGAGCTTATGTCTTTAGTTTGGAGACATGTTCTTTTAGTATATTTGGAGTAATTTCTCTGGTCAACTTTCTTCATTCTGTCTGGAGCTTGCTGGTCTGACCACCACTCTTTGGGAACCACTGTTCTGGTATTTCTGTTCACACAAAAGTAAACTTTTCTTTGTTGAATGAGGAGGAGCCTTATATTTTGTGGGTTCTTCCCAAATGTTTGGTTATTCCTGGGTGTGTAGACAGGGTATTTGAGATCCCTTATGTCCAGTGTGCTATGCATATTTGTTTACCGCAGTGATTTTAGGGGATGGCCAAGGCTTGATTCTGGAAGAGAGCTAGTTTTATGAAGAAGGGGCTTCTACTCATCATGGGTGTCACCCACGGGTGTGGTTTCCCTAGATTGTTTTAGAGAAGCCTGTCCTTTTGGCATTTTTCAAGCAGTCACTTTGCCATTTGCCCTAACACACCTCTTCTGCTCACCGGATCCACTGGTTTAGGGCTTGAAACGGTCTTACAGACCCTTCTGTATTTTCTAGCCTGCTTCTCCATCTTCCCTGTACATGATTAGGCATAGATTCCTCTTCAATTTATTCTACCTCTCTCCCTTCTTGAGGGGATTCTTCAAAGTTTCTGTTCCTTTGGAAGTCTCCGTTAGTTGATCCAGTGTCCTGATTTCTGCTTATATGATTTTCCGTGATTACCAGAGATTAGGTCACAGTAAAGGGATGTATCAGCATATTCTCTGTCCTCAATCTTGATCTAGCCTCTCCACATTTTATTTTTATTTATGAGTTTAGTAAATAAAAAAATCTCTCAGTTATATGGCAAGTTTTTTGGGAATTTAGTACTATACTATAACTTCAGACATATTTATTTTTCTCACAATTTAATAAATACTTGTTTTCTTAAACGGAGACTTTTATCTAACCTGCCTTTGGTAGTTACTACATATAACCTACCTGCTTTATGTTTAGGTAATGAAATTTTGTTTTAAATATGAGCCTAAGCTGATGGTAGTTAAGATAAACTAGAGATAATTAATATTAGTGACAATAATAGTATTTATTGAGGACTTGTGATGCACCAGGGTTAAGATAAGGGTGTTATATGGAGAATAAACCAAAATCAAACAAATAGTGACTCGCAGAGGAAATATTTAGACTAAGTTTTACCCCAGAGCCTATGCTTTTAAGCATTGTACTAACTACCTCCCAGGAAGGTGTATTTGCTAGATTTTGGAGTCAAATTGCTGATGTGCATTATCCACAGCTTATGTGTCCCTATGTGTGTGAGAATGTCTGGCATAGAGGGAAACCTAGACTCTCAGTTTGTTTAGTAGTTTTTACATTGGAATAGAAATAATCACTATTGCCTTTTGTTCTTATCTGATATAGTTGATGGTAGACACTTTTTATTTCCTTTTAATTTAACTATAGGTAATAGTGTTACAGACTTACTATAGACGATGGCATGCTAAAGTCATGGTAGAGAATTTAAGAAGACAGAAAATGTTAAGGTTGAAGTGGGAAGCAGAGGAAGAAGAAAGGAAGATAAGAGAAAAAGAAGAATGGATGAAATTGGACTATCACCGGAGGCATAATCCTCAGACAAAAGAAGATTTTGAGCTTCTTTATAATGCACTGGAACGTAAGTTTGAAATAGGCTTTGCATAAAATATTAATTTTATAATTTTTCACTATTAGGAAAAGCAGGTGTATTAAAGACAAAAGGAAGGCCTTCTTATCTCAGGATGAGGTCTTGGGAATCTTGGCCTAGAGAATTTAAAGAGATGAATAATGTTTTACACCTGGGACAGGAATTAAGGTGGGAATAAATTGGGGATGCTTTTATATCAACAGTGGATAAATAAAATGTGCATACTGCTCTGTAAATTTTGTGGTTTAGTATATTATCTCATTCGATCATCCCCATGAGATAAAAAGAGAATGCATTGTCTAATCTGATTCTCTGATGGTCTTGGGAATTTGTGAATGCAGAACTGAACTGTCTTGAATCCCTCAATTCAGCATCCTGTCTCTGATTTCTGTTCTTTAGAGGAGGGCTTGGCAATACCTTTTAATTCCCACCCGTTAATGATCAATATAGATGTATATTCTTTACACAATTGACGTTTATGCCTTATTTCTTCCACAGAATGTGTGTTAGTCATTGACACAATTAAAAGCTTCAGTTACTTGACAGGCCAAGCACTCCGTACTCAGGGCAATAGATACGCTGTTCTTGAAGTTGTTTCTCATTGGTCCCTTCCAATCTCAACTTAAATGTTGCCTACTCAGAGGCTTCTGTGACTGACAGTCCAACCTGGATATCCTGTTGTCATTTAATGGTTATCATTGCACACCAAACTTTTCATTTATATCACCACCACAATTTGTAATAATATATCTTTTTGTTTAGCATTAATTTTCACCAGTGGATTGCAAACTCCATGAGAGAATAACTTATTTATTTTTTTTGATGCTCTCACTTTTTCTCTGCTTAGCTCATATGCCCAACAAATATTGGCGGGTTGAATGAGTGAGTGAATGAAAGGGAACCCCAAGGATGTAATGCAGTTATCTCTGGCTTCCACTTTTCCGGTAGTACCAGCTAAAGTGCCAGGAAGTGGAACAGAGAGTTACTAATTACTTTAGATGCCAGAAAGTAGAGAAGTTGGGTTCTTGTGACAATGTAGAGGAATTTTCAAAATTAAAAATAGCCTCGGGGCACCTGGATGACTTAGTCAGTTAAACGTCTGACTCTTGGTTTTGGCTCTGGTCATGATCTCATGGTTCATGGGATCGAGCCCTGCAAGGGGCTTCGCGCTGGCAGCACAGAGCCTGCTTGGGATTTGACATTCTCTCTCTCCCTCTCTGTCTCCATCCCTCTCTTGCTGTGCTCTCTCTCTCTCTTTCAAAATAAATAAATAAAAGCTTAAAAATAAAATTAAGAGTAGCCTCAATAGTTTTTTTATTTGAGCAGGGTCTTTTCATCCAAAGAAATAACAGTCTTTGACTTCTCTATGATTATTTATGACATTAACTTTAAGCAAATTTTCTTAATATAACTTTTTATATACTGTTTGTGGGTGTTATTATATGTTCTGTTACTCAAGTCACCCTTCCTCTCTGACAGCAGTTTTAGGTGTCAGATATTGGGTCTATTAAATAGCTATATGGTAATATGCTATTCACCAAAAGATAACACAGTGAAACACTAGGTCTGATAAGCAATGCTAATAAATTTATCTCTTTGGTAACATGCAAAATTGAGTGGCTTTAGGAACGTGGCAGTGTTTGAGGTAACAGCCTGTTCCCTCAGCTTTTACATCTGCCTCGTCTTTCTCCTAATCATTGACCTCTGCAAATACTTTCTGTTTTACTTTAAACCTCACTTCTATTTTCATCCTCTCTCAGATGAAAACAAAGTTTACTTTTAAATGTTAAGAATTAAACAGAGAGCACTGTTGGCAAGATCTAGGAAAGATCTTATTGACAAGTATAAAACTAGAGTTCTGTTATAGCAGAACTCTATTCAAATAATATTCCAAATTCCTATCTGAACAAGCCCAAGGATATTATTATTTCGTTGGTTGACAGGCAGTTGTGTAAAACAACAGAAAATATGCTGAGTGAGGTTCTACCTTTTCTACTTATTGGTGGTATTAACTTGGGCAAGTCACTTATTTTCTTTAGCCTCAGGTTCTTCATCTACAAAAGGACTTACTGATATCTGGCACGTCTATTTCACAGGGCTTTATGATATGTGAATAAATAAATGTTACATTTATGAAAGTACTTTAAAGGTGCAAAGAATTATGCATATATAGTTATGTTATAACTATAATTATTATTAGTTATTAATAGTTATTACAACTATAATTTTATATTTGTAAATAATTTTATACAGATTTTCTATCTTAAAATAGAGCAGATATACTTTATATGGCTACACATGATTTATATGGAATAAAATGAAATTTCTTATATAAAAGAGGCATCTCTTTAGTTTTCTTCCAGCCCTAAAGTTCTAATTTAAAACTCTCAGAATAATAATTTTTAAGTTTTGTTGTAGTCTTTGAAACTGCTGCCCTCTTGTGGCTCATAGTAACAATTACATAGTTTAAATTAAAACTCCTAAAAGAAGTTCAGCTTTTCCTCTGGGTAATCTGTCCCTCAGTAATAAAAGCAAAATAGATCATTAATGAAAATTAATTGAACTACATAAGTTAATATAATGTATCAAAGTCAAGACCATTTCCAGGCAACACTATTTTATCTTTATGTTTGTTTGTTTTTTCTTACAGCAATATGTTGAGGATGACTCCTTTTATTGATCTGAATTGTCACTCTTATTTCAGACTCAGCATAGGGGTTATCATCTTTAGGAAACTTCTCTTGACAGCACAGATTGGGCTCAGAGCCTCTTTTCCTTGCCCACAATTCCCTGTAAACACCACTGTCTTAACTGTGTACATTTGTACTGAGGGTGCCTGATAGGACCCTTGCTCATTGTTGAATTGAATCTGCTAACCCTTTGCTTTGTTTTGACTTGTGCTAATGGCCTTTTCTGACTCTTCTCGGATTATTACTTCTGATCTCAAGGTACCTTGACTTCTAGCTTCTGGAGTCCACTGACATCATCTGGCTCTGGGTATTCAGTCTGAATCTTCCTTGGTTCTCTCCATGTAGGCTTGCAGTCTGTGAATGAGAATTTTAAAAAACAGATGCGTATAAACTGCTACTGGTGGACAAAATCTTGTATGTTCTTCTATTTCTTGTTTGGAAATTGCAAGTTTAGAGCTCAGGAATTTTAGAATGTGTACAGACTTTAGGTGCTAAGTCCTATCCTTTCATTTTTTTAATTAAAAAAAATTTTTTTTACATTTATTTATTTTTGAGAGACAGAGAGAAACAGAGCACAAGTTGGGGGGGGG